TTAAATGCAATGAAAAAACATTGTACCTATAATGGTAATAGCTTTCCTGACTTAAATTTTATTCAATGCCCATATAAAAATATACCAACACAAGTAGATGGTTATAACTGTGGTGTTTTTATTATATATTATGCTATTACTATACTCAATAAGTCTAAATTCAGAAAAAATTTTGACCCTGATACTTACAGGAATGACTTAAAANGTTGACCCTGATACTTACAGAAATGAATTAAAACACTTATTGTTAGAAAATTCAGGTGATATGACAAACATTTGTCTATATTGTCAAAAACATGAAGATAGACATAGAGGCAAGTGTATCGAATGGGTGTCATGTACTACATGTTGTCGCTGGATCGTTATTGACTGTATTAGTGAAACATATAGGCTGAACGATTATAAGAAAAATGACTTTTATTGTATCTTATGTGACGAGACAACAGATAGAACAAAATCTATTCAATGGTAAATAATAAAATTAATAACAGTATTTTACACAGATAAAAAAACGACATAAAAGAACTACTCAACGATGATAATATGATAATTCCTGTCCATTATTATACATAATTATTTATATTTTTGTAATGTAAATAAATTGATTAATACTTTTAAGGACCTTAATCATCATTACTCGAATGAAATAATTTAGATAATACATGATCTAAAATTATGCGATTTTTATCATAATCTACCATTAATTACAAATATAGGTTATAAGTATATAAATGGAATGCTCTAAGTTTTTAAAATAGTATTTTTAAACAAAACAATATAATTAATANGAATAGTATTTTTAAACAAAACAGTATAATTAATATATCATTGCTTTTTTCTACGTGGTCAAAAAATCCGTTGTATTTACACTCATTGTAACCACACCTATTATAAGTTACTAACAAAACTTATGATAAACAGTAAGCAGTATGATAATTCTAAATTAACATATTTAACATTTCTAAATATTAAATAATACAAAATATTTAGAAAACTAAGTGGGACGGCATTTAGTGTTAAATAGAATACAAGATGAATTATATCGAATAATATATAAAGTAATTTAAAAGTGATGTCAAAAGTACAAAAAACTGATCGCAGGTCGGAGAATATGTAGTGTTATTTCTGCACATATTGCCCAGCATTTTCTCTTAAACGGGTTACTTGGAAACTCGAGTACCATTTTTGACTAATGACATTCGATAGGATATTTTTTAAGCTTTAATTTGGTTTATAATTATTGCCTGTTTTGTTAAGTTAAAAGGTCATGGTTTCAGTTTCGTTTAAGTCGATGTGGTGGGTTATCAGGTATTGTAAAAGTATGCATTTTTTTTATTAAAAGGTTTGTGTTTGTGTTAAGTTTTAAGTGGAATCTAGTGTAGTGTAAAGTAGCGAGTTCTTTGACTGATTTGATGTTAAGTTCTTTGTGTAAGTTGTTTGTTACATTGTAGGGCGCGCCAGTTATCATTCTTAACACTATATTTTGGAAAGCTTGTATTGGTCGGATATTTGATGGCTTGGCTGGTCCCTATATCTGGATGACCAGACTAGTCTGATTAATGAGTATTTTTGTTTTAAGCGGTAGTTTAGATTTGAGTAGTTGACGAAAGAGAATGAGTCTGCTGTTAGCTTTTTTCCTTTTGTCTTTAAGGTGAGGTCCCCAAGTTAATCGTTTGTCCAATATTATTCCTAGGTATTAAGTTTCGTTTTGGTTATTCATTAATAATTAAATGTTATAGCTGGACATTTTTCAGAACAAAGGGCGATACTACACTCTGTCGAAGGCCTGGGCTACGTCGAGGAATAGTCCAGTGCAGTATTTGCGGTTTTCTAACGCTAAAGCTATTGTATCAGTCAGCCTATGAACTTCATGTATGGAAGAGTGTCTCTCACGAAATCCAAACTGAGTGTTTGGTAAAATGTGGTGCTCTTGTAATATTAGCCTGATCCTTTTCAGCAAAAGTTTTTCAGCAACAGTTTGCTTAGTGTAGGTAATAAGGTGATCGGTCTATCTATATGACGTTATCATATTTTTTGGTTTTCCTGGTTTAGGTATAAGAGCTATTACAGCTATTTTCCAAATTGATGGGAAGTAAGAAAGTCGCATCATACTATTATATATGTATGTAAGAAGGAGAAAACCTTTTCTTGTTAAGTTTGTTGGCACTTTATTTGTGATGAGATAATACCCAGGAGCTTTTCCTTTTGGTAGTTTTTTGATAGTTGATTCAATTTCTTCAGGACTGAATGGGTTGCAGGAAGAGACATAGGTAAAGGACATAATAAAAAGTCATTAACAGTATTAATATGATTTGAATCGGGCATGATGTCGTCATGTGGTTTAAATGTATTAAATAAATGTTCAGCAAAGGTAGCTTTCTCTTCGTCTGATATAGCAGGAGTACCGTTATCTTTTTGAAGAGGTGGAGTAGTTTCTTTAGTTTGAGTCAATCGTTTTGTAGCTCTCCATAATGTTGAGTGATTGAATGTAATTTGGATATTGGGCTGATTTGAATTTTTGAAGTTGGTTTTTGAGGTTATTAGCTAGTTTGTTATAGAGTTGTTTGAACGAGGAATAACGAGTGTTCTGCCAAATAGACCTTATTCTTCTTTTCTCACTGATAAAAGCTCTTATATGAACTGGAACTTTTACTTTGCTTCTACCATTACTCTTACTTAATGAGGATGAACTGTTTGCTGAGTTCTTAATTAGCGAGACAAAGTTTTAAGCCGCGTTTTCGATGTCTTCGTGGGTTTTAAGTGAAATTTTAAAGTTAATATTTTTATCTAAATTGATTTTGAATTTATCCCAGTTAATAGGTCATTTTGTGAGTGATGGTCTTGTATTATAAGAAACTTCGCTACCAATAGTGAGTATAACAGGTGAGTGGTCACTGGTGATATCACAAATATTTTCTATGCTTGTACTTAGCTGGCTTGGAATATTTGTTACAAAATATTCGAGTATACCAGGGTTTGGGTGTTGGTGAAATAGTTGAATAGTGTTTATTATTGATAACTGTAAGCCAATATTTTCCTCTTTAATTATTACCAAAACAACCCAATTTTGGATGTTTGGAGTTGAAGTCCCCTCCCGCTATAAATGAGTTACCTAAGGAGTTGAAAAACTGCTGGAAGCCATCTTGACGTATACTATTTGTATATTTGTAATTTGAAGGGCAATATACCGCTGATATAGTGATTGGTATGCTATTAATTTTGAAATAGATTTATTGGGAACAGTAATTAAAAAAGATTTGGCACGAAAGTAACATGGTCAATTTGAGGAGAGAGTTCTAAATGTTTAATTTTATCCTTGATACCCGAAATTTCTTCACGTAGAGAATTATTTTCAGCTTGAAGTTCAGTTATTTGCGCTGATAGAAAAGATAATTTTGCAATAAGGTCATTTAATTGAGCAGTTAAGTATCTGCATAAGATTTACTTTGAGATAGCATCTGATCCTGTTTTTGTTGCAAGGAATTTATTGCTATAAGAATATCTTCATTTGAAGTAGGCTCCAGGGATGAACTAAATTTAGTTTTTAATAGGCGACTAGGAAGTGAACTCTTAACAGAAGTGTCACTTTTTGCTTTTGAACTAATTGGTGATTTAAAGTTCATAATTAAAGATTGAAATATGATGACACCAGGTGTTTAAGTCTCCGCAAATAAAGTAATGAAGTTAGCAACAAGTAGTAACTAAAACTATTACTGAACAAGCACTGATAAGAAGAATAGAGCAAACTGTGTCAGCACAAAAGAAGTATAAAATTACCTAAAAGTAAGGCGTCTTGAAGAAGGAAAACAAGTATACTTAAGAAGTAACAAAAACTGATAAAGAAACTATGAATATAATTATCTAAGTTAAAGAATATACCAGATAAATTAGAGTTGAAAAATGAATAACTGTCACTAAAACAACACTGATAACACTTATCAGTGCTATGTCTATTTTGTTATGGTTAAGTACAGTTTGAAATTCATTTTTGTGTTCATAAAGACCATTAGCATTCCAAAGTAGTATTTTGATGATAGGATATGTTAATGTAGGCATTTTTAAAAATAATTTTAAAAATTACAGTGATTAGTAAGAATATCAAAGGATTAATTTATGATTTTAAGTCATTTAAAAATGAGGAAAGTTGTTTAGTGAGTTCATTGTTATTAGTATTAGTTGTTTGTGACTTGTTTGAATAGTTGTTCTGTTGAGTTATTTTTGCATACAAATTGTGTGTGTTTGGTTCATACACATTAGTGTTTTCTAATTGGGTGTTACCAGTGGGGACATGTACATTGTATAATTTCTTATGATCAAAAGGATGATTGCTATTTTGAGATTTTGGATTGGGTGTTTTCCGTTTTCCGTTGGGGTTTGTTTTTTGGTGGGAGTAAACATTTTAAATATACGCCAGTAAAGTTATAACCACCCGCGTTACATACCCACTCAAAACTCAAAAGTTATTATCGACCTAACAAAATTTTATTTAAAAAGAGTACTAAAGAATGGTGTTTTGAATATTTTAAAAAATTTAAAAATTAAAAAAACCCAGCACAGGGGAATCGCTGCACAGTTGTGACGTGTATAGTTGGATCAAGTATAATGATATCTGACAGTGATTAAAATCACTATCAAAAATAAACGCTTCGATGCAAATCTTTAGATAGTGTTTAATTTAAAAAAAATTGGTGTTTTATTCCAAAAGCTACTTGATCTGCTGGTTCCTTATTAATATCTCGATTAAGATAAAGTATGTCGAATGAAAAAGGGTTTATTAAAAAATATTATTTCTCATAAAAAAATTGTGTGGATCCATAAACTTTTCAATAAGTTATAGCATTATAAAGTTAAATATAATATTCTATAATATAAAAATGAATCGCAAAATGTGTTGGTAAGCGCATAACTCAACAACGCCTCGACCAAAAAAAGTTTGCGAGCAAACTCGGTTTGCTCACACTGTAAGGCATTAAAATACAAAAACGAAACCAATGGATTGTGTTGCGCAAATGGTAAAGTGAAATTGATACCATTGGATCCACCACCAGAACCATTGTACTCATTGGTTTCAGGAATAGGAACAGATTCTATACACTTTTTGACACATATCCAACAATATAACAATTGCTTTCAAATGACTTCATTTGGGGCAACAAATGTAGTTCGGGAAAATTTTATGCCAACTTTCAAGGTATGTATTATAGCAGTTACTCATAATTATTTTAGCGAACAAAATTTTCTGTCACCAAAGTTAAGATGTGTCACTAATCTTCAATTTCTTAATCACTTATATATCACTTAGTCATCATATTATATGGTGATTCAGTTTCAGTGACACTTTTATTATATTTTATATTTGATAGATATTAGTTAAAACTAAATATATACTTTTTAAGATCAAATATTATTTAAGTTTGATCACTGACAATCCATTAATTTATACCACACCATAATATTTTTTTTTTATTTACAGATACAAGGGCAAATATATCACAGAGCAGGTTCACTGTTACCAGTGTCAGATAGCGACAACAAATTCCTGCAAATTTATTTTATGGGCAATTCACCACAAGAAATTGATCTGCGTTGTGCACATAACAATTTAGTAAAGAGGTCTATTGTAGAACAATTACAAACTTTATTTCATCAACACAATCAATTGATTATATTGTTTAAAACTGCCCTGGATCTGATGCCATCCGATAATCACAAAATTGTAATCAGAGCTGATAAAACACCTGCAGGTCAACATACAAGACGTTTTAATGCACCAACTATTGATGAAGTTGCTATCGTTGTAGTTGGAGAAAACTTGGAATCCCGTGATATTGTTTTACATCGTCGGAATGATCAATTACAACGTATAAAGGAAACACACCGCTCATATGATGCACTGCAATATCCCATTATATTTTGGCAAGGTGAAGATGGCTACGATTTCTCAATAAAAATGATAAATCCCATTACAGGTAACTAAAATATTAGTTTAGCTATGGCGATAATATCTCAGTCATTATATTATGTATTTTAATTTTATATTCGAATGTTATTAAAACAAAATCTATTTACAGGTTCTGAAACCAACAAAAAAGTCAGTTCAATGAACTATTATTCATACCGCCTAATGATTCGGGAAAATGAAGAAAATCACATATTGAAATGTCGGCGATTATATCACAAATATGTTGTTGACATGTATGTTAAAATTGAAACGGAGAGATTAACATTCATCAGGTTGAATCAAACCAAACTCCGATCTGAAGAGTATATTCACCTTCGAGATGCGATTAATACTGATGGAAATGCACAGAATGTCGGTCGGATGACTATTCTTCCAGCAACATACATCGGAAGCCCT